ACCTTGCAGAAAACTGACGATATTGCTAAACCATTTACTGACTTGAAGGACGATAAGCCACAAGCTAAATTAGATGAGAAACCCAAGTCCCCTCTTGATGCATCCAAGCAAACTCTTAAGGAATATTCTGATGATGAATGTGATGAAAAGATTGGTTTCGACAAGCCTCAAGACAAGCTCCTTCCCCCCACCACACCTCTGGTACCTCTCGCAATGACTACAAGCAAAATTACTTCTGTGAGTGAAACTCGCGAGACTGTTGATATTCACATCAAAGATGTAGTTAAGCTGCCCATGGATCCTGTAAAATCTGTTGAGAAACCAACATCCCCAACTGATGTAGGTAAGACAGTATCAAAGGGGTATTCAGACGATGAGAGTGATGGCGAATTTGGGATTGCTAAGCCACTAGATAAAATTATTCCATCAACTACTCCTCTACTGCCATTTGCAGAAAAGACCTTGCAGAAAACTGACGATATTGCTAAACCATTTACTGACTTGAAGGACGATAAGCCACAAGCTAAATTAGATGAGAAACCCAAGTCCCCTCTTGATGCATCCAAGCAAACTCTTAAGGAATATTCTGATGATGAAAGTGATGAAGAGATTGGTTTCGACAAGCCTCAAGACAAGCTTCTTCCCTCCACCACACCTCTGGTACCTCTAGCAATGACTACAAGCAAAATTACTTCTGTGAGTGAAACTCGCGAGTCTGTTGATATTCACATCAAAGATGTAGTTAAGCTGCCCATGGATCCTGTAAAATCTGTTGAGAAACCGAAATCCCCAACTGATGTAGCTAAGACAGTTTCAAAGGGGTATTCAGACGATGAGAGTGATGGCGAATTTGGAATTGCTAAGCCACTAGATAAAATTATTCCTTCAACCACTCCTCTGCTGCCACTTGCAGAAAAGACCTTGCAGAAAACTGACGATATTGTTAAACCATTTACTGACTTGAAGGACGATAAGCCACAAGCTAAATTAGATGAGAAACCCAAGTCCCCTCTTGATCCATTTAAGCAAACTCTTAAGGAATATTCTGATGATGAAAGTGATGAAGAGATTGGTTTCGACAAGCCTCAAGACAAGCTTCTTAGCTCCACCACACCTCTGGTACCTCTAGCAATGACTACAAGCAAAATTACTTCTGTGAGTGATACTCGCGAGTCTGTTGATATTCACATCAAAGATGTAGTTAAGCTGCCCATGGATCCTGTAAAATCTGTTGAGAAACCGAAATCCCCAACTGATGTAGCTAACACAGTTTCAAAGGGGTATTCAGACGATGAGAGTGATGAAGAATTTGGAATTTCGAAGCCACTAGATAAAATTATTCCACCAACTACTCCTCTACTGCCATTTGCAGACAGAACTTTGCAGAAAACTGACGATATTGTTAAACCATTTACTGACTTGAAGGACGATAAGCCACAAGCTAAATTAGATGAGAAACCCAAGTCCCCTCTTGATCCATTTAAGCAAACTCTTAAGGAATATTCTGATGATGAAAGTGATGAAGAGATTGGTTTCGACAAGCCTCAAGACAAGCTTCTTAGCTCCACCACACCTCTGGTACCTATAGCAATGACTACAAGCAAAATTACTTCTGTGAGTGATACTCGCGAGTCTGTTGATATACACATCAAAGATGTAGTTAAGCTGCCCATGGATCCTGTAAAATCTGTAGAGAAACCCAAATCCCCAACTGATGTAGCTAACACAGTTTCAAAGGGGTATTCAGACGATGAGAGTGATGAAGAATTTGGAACTGCTAAGCCACTAGATAAAATTATTCCTTCAACCACTCCTCTACTGCCATTTGCAGACAGAACTTTGCAGAAAACTGACGATATTGTTAAACCATTTACTGACGTGAAGGACGATAAGCCACAAGCTAAATTAGATGAGAAACCCAAGTCCCCTCTTGGTGCATCCAAGCAAACTCTTAAGGAATATTCTGATGATGAATGTGATGAAGAGATTGGTTTCGACAAGCCTCAAGACAAGCTTCTTCCCTCCACCACACCTCTGGTACCTCTAGCAATGACTACAAGCAAAATTACTTCAGTGAGTGATACTCGCGAGTCTCTTGATATTCACATCAAAGACGTAGTTGAGCTGCCCATGGATCCTGTAAAATTTGTTGAGAAACCGAAATCCCCAACTGATGTAGCTAAGACAGTTTCAAAGGGGTATTCAGACGATGAGAGTGATGGCGAATTTGGAATTGTTAAAACACCAGACAAGCCTATTCCTTCAACCACTCCTCTGCTGCCACTTGCAGAAAAGACCTTGCAGAAAACTGACGATATTGTTAAACCATTTACTGACTTGAAGGACGATAAGCCACAAGCTAAATTAGATGAGAAACCCAAGTCCCCTCTTGATGCATCCAAGCAAACTCTTAAGGAGTATTCTGATGATGAAAGTGATGAAGAGATTGGTTTCGACAAGCCTCAAGACAAGCTTCTTCCCTCCACCACACCTCTGGTACCTATAGCAATGACTACAAGCACAATTACTTCTGTGAGTGATACTCGCGAGTCTGTTGATATTCACATCAAAGACGTAGTTGAGCTGCCCATGGATCCTGTAAAATCTGTTGAGAAACCGAAATCCCCAACTAATGTAGCTAAGACAGTTTCAAAGGGGTATTCAGACGATGAGAGTGATGGCGAATTTGGAATTGTTAAAACACCAGACAAGCCTATTCCTTCAACCACTCCTCTGCTGCCACTTGCAGAAAAGACCTTGCAGAAAACTGACGATATTGTTAAGCCATTTACTGACGTGAAGGACGATAAGCCACAATCTAAATTAGATGAGAAACCTAAGTCCCCTCTTGATGCATCCAAGCAAACTCTTAAGGAGTATTCTGATGATGAAAGTGATGAAAAGATTGGTTTCGACAAGCCTCAAGACAAGCTTCTTCCCTCCACCACACCTCTGGTACCTCTAGCAATGACTACAAGCAAAATTACTTCTGTGAGTGATACTCGCGAGTCTCTTGATATTCACATCAAAGATGTAGTTGAGCTGCCCATGGATCCTGTAAAATCTGTTGAGAAACCGAAATCCCCAACTAATGTAGCTAAGATAGTTTCAAAGGCGTATTCAGACGATGAGAGTGATGGCGAATTTGGAATTGCTAAGCCACTAGATAAAATTATTCCTTCAACCACTCCTCTACTGCCATTTGCAGACAGAACTTTGCAGAAAACTGACGATATTGTTAAACCATTTACTGACGTGAAGGACGATAAGCCACAAGCTAAATTAGATGAGAAACCCAAGTCCCCTCTTGAAGCATCCAAGCAAACTCTTAAGGAGTATTCTGATGATGAAAGTGATGAAGAGATTGGTTTCGACAAGCCTCAAGACAAGCTTCTTCCCTCCACCACACCTCTGGTACCTCTAGCAATGACTACAAGCAAAATTACTTCTGTGAGTGATACTCGCGAGTCTCTTGATATTCACATCAAAGATTTAGTTGAGCTGCCCATGGATCCTGTAAAATCTGTTGAGAAACCGAAATCCCCAACTAATGTAGCTAAGACAGTTTCAAAGGGGTATTCAGACGATGAGAGTGATGGCGAATTTGGAATTGTTAAAACACCAGACAAGCCTATTCCTTCAACCACTCCTCTGCTGCCACTTGCAGAAAAGACCTTGCAGAAAACTGACGTTATGGTTAAACCATTTACTGACTTGAAGGACGATAAGCCACAAGCTAAATTCGATGAGAAACCCAAGTCCCCTCTTGATGCATCCAAACAAACTCTTAAGGAATATTCTGATGATGAAAGTGATGAAGAGACTGGTTTCGACAAGCCTCAAGACAAGCTCCTTCCCTACGCCACACCTCTGGTACCTTTAGCAATGACTACAAGCACAATTACTTCTGTGAGTGAAACTCGCGAGTCTGTTGATATACACATCAAAGATGTAGTTAAGCTGCCCATGGATCCTGTAAAATCTGTTGAGAAACCCAAAGCCCCAACTAACGTAGCTAAGATAGTTTCAAAGGCGTATTCAGACGATGAGAGTGATGGCGAATTTGGAATTGCTAAGCCACTAGAGAAAATGATTCCTTCAACCACTTCTCTGCTGCCCCTTGCAGAAAAGACCTTGCAGAAAACTGACGATATTGTTGAACCATTTACTGACTTGAAGGACGATAAGCCACAAGCTAAATTGGATGAGAAACCCAAGTCCCCTCTTGATCCATTAAAGCAAACTCTTAAGGAATATTCTGATGATGAAAGTGATGAAGAGATTGGTTTCGACAAGCCTCAAGACAAACTTCTTAGCTCCACCACACCTCTGGTACCTCTAGCAATGACTACAAGCAAAATTACTTCTGTGAGTGATACTCGCGAGTCTGTTGATATTCACATCAAAGACGTAGTTGAGCTGCCCATGGATCCTGTAAAATCTGTTGAGAAACCGAAATCCCCAACTGATGTAGCTAAGACAGTTTCAAAGGTAACACAGTTTCAAAGGGGTATTCAGACGATGAGAGTGATGGCGAAATTGGAATTGCTAAAACACCAGACAAGCCTATTCCTTCAACCACTCCTCTGCTGCCACTTGCAGAAAAGACCTTGCAGAAAACTGACGATATTGTTAAACCATTTACTGACTTGAAGGACGATAAGCCACAAGCTAAATTAGATGAGAAACCCAAGTCCCCTCTTGATGCATCCAAACAAACTCTTAAGGAGTATTCTGATGATGAAAGTGATGAAGAGATTGGTTTCGACAAGCCTCAAGACAAGCTTCTTAGCTCCACCACACCTCTGGTACCTCTAGCAATGACTACAAGCAAAATTACTTCTGTGAGTGATACTCGCGAGTCTCTTGATATTCACATCAAAGATGTCGTTAAGCTGCCCATGGAACCTGTAAAATCTGTTGAGAAACCGAAATCCCCTTACTGATGTAGCTAAGACAGTTTCAAAGGGAATATTTACAAAGATGTAGTTAAGCTGCCCATGGAACCTGTAAAATCTGTTGAGAAACCGAAATCCCCAACTGATGTAGCTAAGACAGTTTCAAAGGGGTATTCAGACGATGAGAGTGATGAAGAATTTGGAATTGCTAAGCCACTAGATAAAATTATTCCTTCAACCACTCCTCTACTGCCATTTGCAGACAGAACTTTGCAGAAAACTGACGATATTGTTAAACCATTTACTGACTTGAAGGACGATAAGCCACAATCTAAATTAGATGAGAAATCCAAGTCCCCTCTTGATCCATTTAAGCAAACTCTTAAGGAATATTCTGATGATGAAAGTGATGAAGAGATTGGTTTCGACAAGCCTCAAGACAAGCTCCTTCCCTACGCCACACCTCTGGTACCTCTAGCAATGACTACAAGCACAATTACTTCTGTGAGTGATACTCGCGAGTCTGTTGATATACACATCAAAGATGTAGTTAAGCTGCCCATGGATCCTGTAAAATCTGTAGAGAAACCCAAATCCCCAACTGATGTAGCTAACACAGTTTCAAAGGGATATTCAGACGATGAGAGTGATGAAGAATTTGGAATTTCGAAGCCACTAGATAAAATTATTCCACCAACTACTCCTCTACTGCCATTTGCAGACAGAACTTTGCAGAAAACTGACGATATTGTTAAACCATTTACTGACTTGAAGGACGATAAGCCACAAGCTAAATTAGATGAAAAACCCATGTCCCCTCTTGATGCATCTAAGCAAACTCTTAAGGAATATTCTGATGATGAAAGTGATGAAGAGATTGGTTTCGACAAGCCTCAAGACAAGCTTCTTAGCTCCACCACACCTCTGGTACCTCTAGCAATGACTACAAGCAAAATTACTTCTGTGAGTGATACTCGCGAGTCTGTTGATATTCATATCAAAGATGTAGTTAAGCTGCCCATGGATCCTGTAAAATCTGTTGAGAAACCGAAATCCCCAACTGATGTAGCTAACACAGTTTCAAAGGGGTATTCAGACGATGAGAGTGATGGCGAAATTGGAATTGCTAAAACACCAGACAAGCCTATTCTTTCAACCACTCCTCTGCTGCCACTTGCAGAAAAGACCTTGCAGAAAACTGACGATATTGTTAAACCATTTACTGACTTGAAGGACGATAAGCCACAAGCTAAATTAGATGAGAAACCCAAGTCCCCTCTTGATGCATCCAAACAAACTCTTAAGGAGTATTCTGATGATGAAAGTGATGAAGAGATTGGTTTCGACAAGCCTCAAGACAAACTTCTTAGCTCCACCACACCTCTGGTACCTCTAGCAATGACTACAAGCAAAATTACTTCTGTGAGTGATACTCGCGAGTCTCTTGATATTCACATCAAAGATGTAGTTAAGCTGCCCATGGAACCTGTAACTGATGTAGCTAAGACAGTTTCAAAGGGGTATTCAGACGATGAGAGTGATGAAGAATTTGGAATTGCTAAGCCACTAGATAAAATTATTCCTTCAACCACTCCTCTACTGCCATTTGCAGACAGAACTTTGCAGAAAACTGACGATATTGTTAAACCATTTACTGACTTGAAGGACGATAAGCCACAATCTAAATTAGATGAGAAATCCAAGTCCCCTCTTGATCCATTTAAGCAAACTCTTAAGGAATATTCTGATGATGAAAGTGATGAAGAGATTGGTTTCGACAAGCCTCAAGACAAGCTCCTTCCCTACGCCACACCTCTGGTACCTCTAGCAATGACTACAAGCACAATTACTTCTTTGAGTGAAACTCGCGAGTCTGTTGATATACACATCAAAGATGTAGTTAAGCTGCCCATGGATCCTGTAAAATCTGTTGAGAAACCCAAATCCCCAACTAATGTAGCTAAGATAGTTTCAAAGGGGTATCCAGACGATGAGAGTGATGGCGAAATTGGAATTGCTAATCCACTAGAGAAAATGATTCCTTCAACCACTTCTCTGCTGCCCCTTGCAGAAAAGGCCTTGCAGAAAACTGACGATATTGTTAAACCATTTACTGACTTTAAGGACGATAAGCCACAAGCTAAATTCGATGAGAAATCCAAGTCCCCTCTTGATCCATTTAAGCAAACTCTTAAGAAATATTCTGATGATGATTGTGATGAAGAGATTGGTTTCGACAAGCCTCAAGACAAGCTCCTTCCCTACGCCACACCTCTGGTACCTCTAGCAATGACTACAAGCACAATTACTTCTGTGAGTGAAACTCGCGAGTCTGTTGATATACACATCAAAGATGTAGTTAAGCTGCCCATGGAACCTGTGAAATCTATTGAGAAACCGAAATCTCCAACTAAAGTAGCTGACCTAGTTCCAAAAGAATATTTGGACGATGAGAGGGATAGCGGACTTGTAATTGTTAAGCCAAGTCCCGACAATGGTGAAAAGGATTTAGCTCCTGATTTATTTTCTGATTCTCCAAATCGAATAATCGGCCGTGCTGGCATCGACAGCTACCCAATTGAGGAAAAGGTGATTCCAGAATCATTTTCTGATTTTGATGATACAAGATCGGTTCAGCAAATTGTTGAAGAAACTTTGCGGGCTGGTGATGCAGAGGTACAAAAGATTATAAATGAAACTCTTAAAAGCGTGCAGGTACATAGAGAATTAGAGCATAAGGATTATATATTTACTGAGTTAGGCGAAAGTGACCGATCGATTGAAGAGATTGTGGAAGATACTTTAAAAAGTGCAAAAGTTAAGGCAGGGGACAAAAATCAGGTGGTAAATCTAGTAGAAGATGATGTAGTTTCGACGAAAAAAGAGAAAACTGAGTGTAAAGAAGTCCGACCTATTGCTTATTTCGTCAAGTTAGGTGATGAAAAGATAGATGTTATGCCTACAAAAACGGTAGAAATGAAAACCCCAGTTACCAAACCCAAAACAGTAAGAAATGTCAGTGCAAAATCCGAGGGAAATGTAATGAAAAAACAACAAGTTAAAAAGCAAGTAGATACTAAGGAAAGATCAGCGATTACTCAAAAGAAATCACCATCGACACAACTAAAATTATCGAATGCATCTAGCAAGCAATTAAAAGTAAGAAAGCCATTAACAAACGAACCCCCGAAGGTTTCTAGAAAAACCGAGTCGAGGAGATCAGTTACAAGTTCTACTTCGACTACAAGCTCGGCTTCAGCTACAAGTCGAGTTATAAGTGAAATTCACTTCGAAAGATCCGCAAGTCCAGCATCAAGTTCAATATTTTATGAAAGTCACACTCAAGGCGAAAACAGCCGCTCCACAACGCCAAGGCCTAGGGTAAAAACAGATGTTACAAAAATACCATACAACACCTCGGTTCGCTCGTTAAGTCCATCACCCAAATCCACAAGATCGACAAAAACAACATCCATTAAACAAGATGTCAGCAAGAAAGCTAGAGTGTTTAATAAGAAGGTAAAAACAGAGATTACCTCAAAATCTACAAAAGTTGTGGAAGACAACAAGCGAATAAAAACGCCAACTCCATCTGCCACACACCGATATATGCAGCCAACTTTAGCTCACAGTATGCGTTTCGGTCTAAATGCCGATAGTGAAAGTCGAAGTGTGACTCCGGCCCCAGTTAAATCACCAGCCCCACCCAAATCGCCAGCTCCAGCACAACCCAATCGACAAAGTATATATAAAACAAAGAATACGATAAGTGCCTTGACAAAAAACTCGTCAATAGATCAAAAGCAGCAAAAGAAATTGATTACAGAAAAGCCCTCAGTTTTGACCAAGAAAGGTTCCCATACTGAAAGTAAGGATTTATTACAGAGTACAGATCGCCTTTACAAAAGACAAATATCCAAAGAGAATAAACAAGCAAACGTGATAGGCTCCAAGAGCCAAATAACTAAAACCATGAAGACACAATCAGCTACTGCAACTAAATCAATTGCCTACAGAACTTCCATAGAATCTGATAACAAGCTACAGAAAAAAACTACATCAACTATGCAACAACGCACCAAAGTTCCAATTAGCTTGTCTTCCGTAACAACAAGAGCTTCAACTAAGCTAAGCAACAAAAGTGATGAAACCGTTTTAAGACCTCAGATAGACAATAAGAAAATCGTCAGGAAGACAGCAAGCAAAACGACTGAGGGAAGCAGTAATATTAGCAAAAATGTGCGCAGCTCCATAGAACCAAAACTTCAAAAGCAGATGAAGGACACAATGAACGAATCGAGCACTACAGCCAGCGGCAGCACCAGTGCCAGCGGCTCCTCGAGCAGCACCCGACGCAGTGTACGTTCCGTGATGGTTAGCCGTAAGACTGACAAGGAGAAGACGAATATGAAACTATCAGAACAGAAGGGTGTGATATCGACATCGACTGTGCGGGTTCATAGGGAGCCAACAGCCACTACCAGCGCGGTTAGCACCGTGCTCGTTGATGACGACTCCGAGGTGATAACCATACGTTCCATTAAATCAAGTGATAGTACAAAAAGCTCTACCTCATCATCCTCTGGTAGCGGCAGCAACAGTCGCAAGGTGCTAACCAGCGAGGTTTTCACTAAGACTTTCGGCCCCGATAAGCCCCTGGAAGTGATCTACCGCCAACCCGATTTTGATGCAGAGCACCACACGGCAATAGGAATGCGTCCGCAATCCAGAAATGAACAACAGCGCTGCGTTAACGAGTTCGATGTCAGCTTTATCGATACCACCGATTCCAGTCTCTCCGACTCTGTTGCACTGCCGATGTTTGGCGCTGGTGATCCAGAGCGCCTGCTGGCCGCCAGTCCTGGTTCCCCCAAGCCAACCCGTAGTCCCTTAGCCTTAATTGAGGAAACATTGCGGCGTCACCATCAGCATCAGCATCAGAATATTGCTGCATCGGGCAGCGCAGTAGACCCTTCGCAACAATTGCATGTCGAGAGCGACAGCATTGTGGCGGTGAGTGAGAGTCGCCTTAAAAAAGAGACGGAGAAAAGCTGCACATCAAAAGGTAAATGAATACATTTAGGCTTAGAGCACTATCATAACTACATTTATTAAACATAGCTTAGAGCGATACCCACCATGCTAAGGGCAATATTAAACATTATGCAACTTTTCTAATTGATATCAATTTTTAAAATGCTTTTATTCAATTTAATTTTAACTTATTTTCCACAACTAGCTAACGCAAATAACTAAACTCAAAATATAAAAGCCACAAAATATATAAACCAAACCCACCAAAATGTCCAAAAAACTCCCAACTATATCCGTAACTGCCGAGCAGCATTCCAATTCATCCTCATCCTCACGTGACTCCGATAGCAATGACATGGACTATGGTCGCAACAGCGGGGGCGTCACAGATGTTGAAGACTTCGACAGCCAAGCCGATGTTCTTAAGCTAAACTCTCGTCGCGGCTCTGGTAATGTATCGCTAAGGCAAAAAACCCAGCAACAAAAATCGAAACCCTTTGAAAATGATGTCACTGACGTGGAGGACTATGAAACTGATTCAGACGATGAGGAGAAGAGCATCGCTTATCCCGAGTTGAAATTATCGCTACGAGAATTTTTGCAACAAGGACACCAAAATCAAGAGGCTGTGGACAATGACGCCAAGGAGAGTCGTGAAAATAAAGCGGGTAACTTTCTCCAAGCACAAAACTTGAATGGTCTGAGCGACTGCCTTACCGACTGCGAAGATTATGACACAGACTCCGAAGTAGGCTATGGCTATGAGAAGTCTGTGTGTGTTGACTTAGATAACGCCGTGGGCGACCAGGGACGCGTCAATATAGCCGATGGCGAGAAACCCGAGGATGAGTCCGATCAATACGAGGATGTCTCTGTCATTAGCGACATTAGTGACTTGGCTTCAGCCATGTCCGACTGCACTGGAATTGGTATTCACGTGCGTGGCATGTCTGAGGACGAGGTGCTTATAGTATCCGGCAGTGGCAGTGAAGAGGTATGTCAAATAGCCTGCTCCAGTACCGAGTCGGAATCGGGTGGCGCTGCTGCTAGAAGCGCCAGCATAAGTGAAGCCAGCTTGCCGCCAATAGATGTGGCCTTTGTAAGCGCTAGTGGAGAACCTCGCAGAAACTCCAAGTCAACATTCCTCAATACTGAGCAAAGACATTTTTTACAAGTGACCCCCAAAAACGATGAGGTACTAACAGATATTGAGGGCATCGATGATTCAGGAGCCGAAGACAGCTTTGATAATGAGGATGACAATGAAGAGCCCATACCACGTGCTATAATTCTAGCGATCGGTGATGATGGCACCTGTCTAACTGATGTGGAGGACATGTATTGCGATGACCTTTCGCTTACAAGCGCCGTGCCCGAAGCGATTTCTGTAGCCCCCGAGGTATTGCCACTGCCACATCGCGAAGTCATTGAGTTAAAAGAGGATAAGTATGGCGATACGATTGCTAATGTCATGCCTATGAAAAGCAACTACGAGTTTGGAATACCTAACCACTTAAGGGATGTCAATCATACCGATTCGGAAGAATACTCATGTATGGAAGACCTAAGCGCAACTATTTCTCTCGCCGAGGAACTGGCTATTGGATCACCAAGTCTAATAGAGAATGAAGTCATTGTTTCTAATGAACTATTAAAACAGCAAAACAAACGCCTGGAGGTGCTGTCAAATGCCGAATCTGTCACTGACGTGGAGGAAATTTTTGTGGCAGGTACTAACCGACGCAAGAAGTTGAAGACGCGCACACTGAGCAAGGGTAAAAACAAGCTGCTCGATGTTCTCAAGGCCAATGAGGCGGGTATAACCGATGTGGAAGACATGGATCTGAGCGAGTGTGACCTACCGCCAGGCGTTAAACGTGTGGCACAACTCAAATATCAAGCCAAGGGTCACAATGCAGACAAGCTAACCGATGCCGAAGATATTTCCACTGAAGACGTATCTGATGCTTCTGAGGCTTCATTGCCGCCAGCTGACTTACCCAAGCAGTCCCAAAACAAGTCCAAAACGCATCCACTTCACTTGCGTTTACTTAAAGACGATGCCATCAGTCAGCAGAATACGGACATCGAAGACGTGCAACTGCCCTCCGATGCTGAGGATGCACTTGAGCCCCCAGAAATCAAGGTGGCCAATAGCAATAGCAAAGAGCTCAACGATATGTTAAATGAGAGTTATACCGTGGTGCACGAAAAGAGCGGCAGAAGTTTCAATGCCGAGGCCGAGAAGCTGCACATAAAGGGTGTGATACGGGATGCCCACACTGACGTTGAATATGTTGAATCTGATGAGTCAGCTGCCAGAGGCGGCAACTAGTCACCGTCTCCCTAATCTGAATATATTTACCGAAAACAATCTTAACAATAGTTCATAGCTCGTATAAGTGTCCATATAAGATACCTAATGAAACTCAACTGAATATATAACACATACACTCAAGCATATTGTAAGTAAACCTGACAATTAATAATCACTAAACTAGATATAAAATTACATTTTCGTTAAAATTTTTATCACACAACAAAGCAACGAAAGCCTGAATCTAATTGCTATTGTCTGCCTTAACTCTGTGCCCCCGTAAAATACTAACAATTTCAATATTTATAATCACCTAAGCGTCGTTCAACTAACATTTTTAGTACTTAAGTAATTATAGCTAAAAAAAAAAAAAAGATCTTTGGAGTCTATTTGTTTCGTCCTTGTTTTGAGTCCGTTTTATTATATTTTTTTTGTAGCATATAATTACAGTATGTAATTGCTTTTAGGTTACCTTTATGTTCGTTCTGTGCAGTCAAATATCTTTACTAATTGCTGGCTTGTTCGTTTACAGAAGGATTTACAAAAACAACAATCGCTCCATCCATTCTGCATACAGAAAAAATTTCCCAAGCAATTGGTAAGTTCAGCTTGCGGCTTTATATCTAAAATGCTTTTCATAATTTTGCGCGTACATTATCTCATGCGCTTCACAAGTATTGTTAAATATTATTATCCAATTGTTTCTTATTGTTTAACAAATGCAATTAAAGCTCATTGAGGCAAATAGTTATTATGGCGACTAACTAAGTTTAATAAACCGAATACGCTGCTAAAAGATTTCGCTCACATCACCAAAATATCACCGCATTTATAACACCATCTTCTATCCACACATAATGTTGCACATATTCTAATTAAAAATATTTCGAAAACTCGCTTCTCATGCCGCTCATGATTTCCAAGCTTGTCAACTATCTAATTTCTATCTATCAATGAAAATGTGCAATTGTTTTACAGATGATGTTAAAGTTGGTGAAGGTGAAGGTGATGATGGCGAAGATCTTGTGGCACGCATCCGTGAGGAAGCCAAAATTCTAGTCGATCACGTGCTCGAAGAGAGTGTTGATTTCATTGAGAACCAGGGGGAACAGCCCAATGGTCACGACTTTATAAAGCACGAATACAATTCAGAGAGTGAAAACTATGCTATAACATGCGACGATATTGTCGGCGTTGATGTCATCAAATCGCCAACAATTGAGTCCATGTCGGGCAAGTCATTCGATGATAATATGAGTTTTACCGACGAGCACATTAACTTACCCTTGCATGCCCAAAACATAACAACAACAACAACAACAATTACATCGCAGTTACAACAACAAGAACAACAGCAGCAGCAGCAGCCACTAGCCACAACCCCATCAACCCCATCAACAGCAAAAGGTAATCTATAATGCCATGCAATCTGTTAGCTCTACGATAGCATAGCAGTTGGGAGCTTAATAGGATTTTAGCCAAATGTTATTATCCTTTGGGATACGTAGTCCGTTAAATATAATCATTATCCTGTATTCTTTGTTTGTTTGCTCATGTGTCATCCCCGAATACTTACGAATCATGTAGTGCCTAGTGAAGGGGAAGAAAAGACGGAGGTGCGTACCAGACGTATCGAGCATAAGATTGAAAAGTTATCCGCTGATGTAGATGTCAGCGATGTCAGCGCACGATTTAATGAGACATTCGAAACAGTTGTACAAGAGGACGAGATAAGTGCTCTGCAGGGTGAATATTCCAAGCTCAGTTGGGATGATAGTGTATCACCCACGACTAACACAATGGCCGACATGGCACAGACCCAACTAACGCCCGATAATGATATTCAAGAATTGACAACAGGTATCATCAGTATATATGCAGCACACAGCTACTTACCATATGATTTAATATGTATATTGCTTTATATAGTTCCTCTATTGGTGATTTGCGTAGATTGTGAATACAAAATCGAATTGCTTTCCTAATGCTGGCAATTTAATATATGAAATGGCGGCCAATAATAACGAAAATACTTTTTGTTCAAGTTGAGCTCTAATTGCATTTAATCTTGTGTTTTAAATTGTTAAATTAGTTCAAGTTTATTTATACGAACTATGCATGTCAACTCCATACTCCATAAATGTCGATCAATCATTCCTATCCAACTCATTTACAACTGTTCTATTCTATTCTAACTCTAAGAACCTATCTAACTATTTATCGCTTATCCACGTACTAACCATTCATGGAACTTTAACACCTTGTTCTGTTCTCCTTCTTGTTATTGTATACTTCTGTTGGTCACTTCCTCATCTTCTGATTTCGACTTTCGCAACACTTTTAAAATTGCTTTTATTTTCACACCTATTGTTTTGTAGAAACAGGCGGCGATTTACCAATCTCAACCGATACTACCCCCATACCACCTTCTGCTGTTGTAGATACAACAACAACGACGACAACATCAGATGAAACGGTGGTCGAAAGCAATACATTCGCGACCACCAGCCACGACACACCCACACCGAAACCTCGCGTACTCAAAACAAGCCCGCCCGACTCCATCTCCGAAGGCACAGATAGCACAACCATTCCAAATCAAGTGCAACAATCCGACTTACCGATCGACATATCCGCACCAGTTCCGAAACCACGAGCGCCCATAAAGCACACAGATCAGTTTGAGAACCTGGCTGCCTTGGGTGAGCAATCCGACAGCATTAGTCTGCGTAGTTTTGATTTTACAGAGGAACTTTCCAAAACAGACGAGCCCTCTACTGAGCTGTCCATACGTTCTCAGCTACGGGATGTAGTCACCACGACAACCACTACAACTGCTTCTGAGGATCACACCGAAAGCTTCGAGCCAACGAGTGAGATTTCAGTGGACGAAGCAGATACTGAAAAATCAGAGGGTGTCGAGAAGACAACCAGCTTTTATATTGGCGAGTCAAGTCGAAATGTGATCATCAAAACTTCTACGAAATCCCCAAGCATGACCCCACAGGATGAAGATCCTAAGATCGAAATGAATATTGAGGCCAAAGATATATCCTTGATGAAGGAGGTGTCCGTCGATTCGGATGAAGCTAATGATGCTTTCAAAGAATATGTAACTATGAAGCCCGATGATCCCCTCGGTTTAGATAGCAAAATAGTCAGACAAGGTTCAGAAACTAGAAATGATCTCTTAGAATTTGAAAATGCTGACAAAGATAAATCCACCGATGCAAAACTTTCGAAAGTCACCACCGAGGAGAGCCTAACCACGTCGACGGGTTCTAGTGGTCGTGCTGTTATTGAGGTGGCACCTTCAAGTAGTGAAGATCCAGACGAATCCAGTAAGGAAATTCCAGAAATAGTCAACACAATTGCTGAAAAGCCAGACAAATTCGAGCTTCCACTTGAGAAAAGTGAGTGGGAAATATCAGAAAAGGAAATTCCCACTGCAAGTAAGCCAAAGGTAGTGCACTCGCCACAGCAACCACAAGCAACTTCTGAGAAACAAGTCATTGACGAGATGCTTTATAGTCAGTCCATTGCAGAGATTCAAGAATCCGTCGAGAACGTAAAAAAAGATTTTGAACTCAACCAAATGTCTCAAGCTTTTAGCACTGATGTTGAGAACGAGGACTTATCATCCTTTATAGGTATACCCGAACTTCAAGCCTCCACAATAGATGGTACCCAGCCACCAGAGGGTCTTTTTGATACAACCATCAAGGAGACATTAAACAAACAAGCTGCTATGGCTCATTATGCAAAAGATATGCTTAGCCAAATAGAGCGGCGTGATGATCATGGATCTCTCGGGTTTGTCTCAACAGGCACGGCTGAAGATTTTAGTTCAATGGAGGACCGTTTGACGAAGGAAGAGCAAGGCTCACTTGGCTTTATATCTACGGAAACGGCTGAAGACTTTAGTTCAATGGAGGACTATTACACGGAGAGGCTAGCAACGGCATCTGTAGTCGTAGAAGAGAGCATTGCAGATAAATCCATGAGCAGTACTTTTGAAGAAGCAATTTCAGATCAAAGTATTAAACCAGTGGACTTAGTGGTTCATCGCATAAAAAGTGATACCTCGCCAGACTCCGCCAATCGCTGGTCCATTCCAGATGTTGATAATTCCAGCTCCAGCGATAGTTATCACAAGAGCTTCGAGAAAACACACAGTCGTCCACTTTCGTCTGATGTAGAAAACTTGCTTACAGGTACTGGAACATCAAGTGATTACCAAACCGCTCGAGACTTCACACCTTCCACCTGTCGCGATGGTACCGAATACGTGAGTGCAGTCAGTACTCTAGGAAGCAGCAGCAGTGGAAAGTCTATTAGCTCGCACGAGAGCATGCGCAGCCTGGACTCGCAGTCGGAAACGTCGGCCAATCTGATGAGCATTGATGTCTCTGAATTGTCGGAGACTTTGGTAGCTACATCAACAGAAGCTGATGCCTTAGAGGCTGAAGAAATGGCTCGCCTGCACGAGTTGCGCGCAGATGACGACGATAGTGATGAAAGCCTAGATATGATGGCTTCTTCCCATCACAGTGGCGACCAGCAAAGCTCGATGAAGCGCTCTCAGGAAATGATATTCAAGCCAAAATCCGAGTGTGAAATTATACCTCAGCAACAATCGGCTCAGACAATGCAGATTGAAGAGTATCCGAAACCAAAAGAGGTCGAGCGCACTTGGGGCTTAGCATATCCGATTGATGAGAAAGAGGGAAAGATTGATAGTTCTCGGGATAGCGATAAAGGTGAAGATATTTTGCTTTATCACGGCGATCCCCGGCGTTCGATTGACGAGTCGAAGCTGGCATCAAGTTTAGATGAAGGAAGCATACTTTCCGTCAGCATGTCTAGCACATCGAACATTGACACCGTTGTTGAAAACTTTGATGATATAATTGGTTCTGCCGGCTCATCATCGTTGACGGGAATTGAAGGTTTTCAGTATGGCCACGATGATCCAGTTCCTTCCACGTCCGTACCAGAAGATACATTTGTATTGGAGATGGAAAGTAAGGAAAATTCACCACAAGACTCAAATGCCAGTACGCCACCTGGCAGTGAGTCAAAGAGACGCGGTCACAAGCGCAATGAAAGCACGACGATTTCTGGAGATGCCCTGAAAAATTTGGACAAGGATTCAGCTTTACCAGGCGAAGGCAAGGAATCTGAAAGCGAGTCCGATACAGACCCCTATGAATCCGAATATGCTCGTCAGTTCCGCTCCCCGAAAGAACGAAAACACAAGAAAAAGAAACAAGCCGCAGCAGAAATGGACCACAGCTCCGAGCTTGAGAAACGTCCATTTACACCTTCTCAGCTGGTAGCCGAAGTTATTGTTGAGGACGCAACAGAAGAGTTAGAGGCGGAAGCAGCTATGATTGAAGAGCGACGACCATCACAAAACATGCAAAACTATTCAAATATACCCGACATTATGGTAACTGAGGATGTTAAGTCGCCCATTTTAGAAGATGCTGATGAGTACCCCGAGAAGACTTTGTACAAAGTTCGCACTGAAGAGGAGCTTGACAAGGCTAGTGATGTTGGCATTTATCAAAAGGCCAAGGCCGAAGAGAAAGAGCTCGACTTCCAAAGGCGTGTACAGGAACAATATAAACAGAAACTTGAAGAACTAAAACGGGCCGAAGTGGGTGCAGATTACGAGGATCAAAGGGCAGCGGATTCACCGGACTCCTTCGAAATGGTTGAACAGCCTGATATATCTGACGAGTTTGTCATTATTGAAGAAGTAGCCAAAGAGGCCAATGAGGTTGACCTGGGAGGCAAGAGCATAAAGATTAAGCCAATCAAATATGAGCAAAAGCATGATCAGGATGTTGAAAAAATCATTATCAAATCGGCACCTGCCGACCCCAAACTTGGCTCCCAGTTGTACAAGGATGACCTCAATTTTGAGTTTGAGGAAAGCCCGCCAACGGGAGCCAGCAGTAGCAGCGAGCAGCAGGAGGAAAGCGATTCAAGCGATACAGCAGCAGCTAATAAGCGTTGGGTCGAGATGCAGCTAACTGATACACAGCTGCGCTATCCTTACGATCTTACGGGCGCAGTGCTGGAAGACATCAAGGAGGAGGATGGAGAATTTGAGGTGGGCAGCAGTCGCATCAGTAGTTTCAAGGACTCGTTCTCAAGCACACCCGAATACGATCTTGCGGCACGCCGCTATCATTCGCGCGGTGACCACGACGATGTGTCTATGAGCAGCCTGCAAGAGTTCGAGTCACTGGAGCAGGCTATTTCACTAGAGAACCGAAATCGCGCCCACCAGGGCTCCACGGACTCCAGCAACGGCAGCTTTACACGGCGCTATATAGTGAGGCATAGTGGAAGCGGCACAGTGCCTGGCGATGATGTCTCCATATCAAGCCTAAAGGATTTTGAGGGACTGGAGAATGCATGCATCGAAGCTCATCTTATTGAGATTAAGGCCAAGGAAGAGGCGGCTCTGCTCTCGCGCTCCGACGAATCCAATAAATCAAATGGTAGCGACCATGGTGCCGCAGGTAATGTGGTGGTCACTAAGGTTACTCGCACTGTGACCCGCACCGAAGTGTTGCCAGCAGGACAAGCTGACAACCTTGAACATTTGCTCAAGCAACAATTGGAACGGGATGAATTTGATTCGAAAGCAGTTAGTTCAGTAAAAATTAGCGAATTACCAACCACAGAACTGGATCCAAAGTCAAAGATTGACAGCCAGGATTCGGAAAAGGACAGCATCGACAGCATGGAGATAAGGAGCCATGACATGATGACTAGCAGCATAGAAAGTTTCGATATATCGAAGGATGCTACCACACGCTCAGACATCGACTCGTTGGAAATTGACAAACGGCATTCGCGACAGGAGAGCATCGAATCTTTTGGCGATGAGCAGCTGGATCTTATGTCCAAATTTGTCAGCGGAGGCGGAGTAACATTAGGCGATGGATTGACCACCACAACGACGACCACAACCACCAGTACTGATGCTGATGGTCAAGAGCACACAGTAACACGCGTGATAACTACCACAACAGTCTCCGGTGGCAGTGGTATTCATGAATTGCCCCTGGATGAGAGCGGTATGTCAAAGGACATATCCGTTGATTCTCTGAACCTGTGCATTGAGCAAACAACCAGCTCGGCTGGCACAACAGCCACGTATCAGACCAGCGCAGGAAATTCACAGATGTCGGGCAGTGTTACTAGCTGTGCATCAAGCACGTTAATGGAAGACTCGTTTCCTGGTGTGGGTGGCATGTCGTCCTCTCAAATGTCGGCCAGTTTCTGGTCGCATGATGAGTCCACGGTGGTTGAGGATGAGGATCTAAGGACACAACAACAACAACAACAACAACAGCAAAACCAGTAAAGATGAGAAGGAAAGAAATAATTTATAAAGGGCTAAAACAATGACTAAGAATATCTGGCTAGGTAAGCATTATAAGGCAAGGCTTCTCCGCTTTTAGTTGTACTTATGATTTACGGTTTTTATTTGGTCTCAATATATAAGCAGTAGAGCTCAACATTGACAGAGAATCATGTCGCCTATATGCAAAATCAATTGTATCTTTACTAAATTCTAATTTTCTTTTAAATACTTTTGCAGACAAGATGTTCAACTAAGGATGACATTAAAAACGCATCTTTTATCGGATTACTGACTATGAAACATTCTGAATGCGACACCAAATCACCAACTTTATACGTCACGGACCTTGATTATCTCAAACTTGATTACCATAATAAGAAACTAGCAAATTCGTCATTTTTTCATCAGTGTAAACATTTTAAATGAATTTGAAATGGAAACATGAGTTTTAAATACTTATAAATATTTATTATAAAAATTGCAAAATTGAATATGGCAAGCATTACTTGTTTCGCATTTTCTGTAATTGGCTTTAATGTTTTAACATTTATGAAATCTTATAAGGAGCAACAATTCTTGAGCTAACGCATTGTAATGAAATGCAGAATACACATTTGCTTTTAATTTGATGTAGTTATACTTATATATGTATCTATTAAATGAATCGCTTATTATTGTAGTTTAATTTAAGCAAAATATACAAGTGCATATGTAAAGAGCAAGTAGGAAAGGCCTGGGAAGTGAAATGCTTTTAAAGTCTCATTTTTTACAAGAACCAAGCAAATTTTTACGCTTGCATATTTTAATGAAAAATATACATACATACAATATTATACAATAACAAACCGAAATGCATAGATAAAATTTAAAACACTTATATACAAAAACACAACCAATAATAATAATTCACATAAAGCCGCAACATACAACAGAGTCATATACTTAATGCTAATTTTCGTAATGCACACCTTGCAGTGTATTCATAATATTCTTACATATTACAAGATTTAAACGTCTTAGCATCACCAGCGTAATGGGTTATAAATAAAATATTTGTGTTAAAAACATACAGCAAAAAAAAAACTACAAAAAACATTATTTGTATTGTAAAACACACGCGTATGAATAACCAAATAAAATGCTTAATAAAAATTGCTTTAGATGTTTTAAATGGATTGTATATAATTTCTAATAATGTTCTTATATATGAATATAAGTTCCTGATTCACTCGAATGAAGCACATTATGAGCGGAATCCTTTCACTATTAGTTCTAATTCGTTGTTATGGATTAAATCTGGTATTAGATGGAAATTTTCAAATTTTGAATTAAATACCATAATTTAATACCAAATATGGTAACGGTCATACAGAAGGAAATTATTTTTCTGCGTAAGTACTACATCTGATATTTTACAACCATTTAGTACTGAATACGTGCACCAAAAAATAGTGAGCAATCGATTAGATGAGGAAAAAGAAAAGTTTACAACCAATTCCAATGTGTGGTTTGAAACCCCGCTGTTTCGGTTCAGATTGGTAATTGATTGTTCATATGTGCATTATTGTCTGGACAGTGACTTTCTTTTTTTTTTGTTTTTCTTTTGTGTATTTTTAAAAGACAATGTCTACGATTGAGCTCATACGCATATAAGCCTAAAACTGATTTGCCTAAATTGTCAAGCACTACATGCAAATGTACCGCATGTAATGAACCAGTTCTGTAATCAACTGGTTCGTTTAGTAGGTAGCTCGACAACACTGGGTAGCACACATTACAGCTGACGACGAAAGCAACAGCTGACGAAGCAGCAAGACGAAGCGAACAAGCAATACTTCGTGCGTATGGAATAGAAAATTGGAAAAAAGGCAACTGCACAGTGAAAAAGTTAAGGAAAAATGTGGTTTTTAAGCGAGTAATTGCGTAGCAGTTAAAACCCAGTTCAATAAAATACGAATATAAATAATTCAACGCACAAACAAGCTATGAAATTGTTGCCAAATTTTCTGATTCTTCGTCGTTGTTGCTATCGCATTTCGTATTGAGCTGACAGAAGCCAAGAAGCAGATGACAGATGCAAAACTAAAATCTACGTGCAAATTTGTGAAATTCATTGAAGATTAAGATAACAAACGAATGCTGAGGCATTGGTGCAAATAATTCTAATTATACAACAGCCCAACTGTGTTCCCCTCAAAGACCGAAACTGGTTATACACACAGCGACGACAACGACAGCGACGACGACGACGGCGGCGACGGCAACGAAGGAACGGGAGCAGCAGCAGCAGCAGCGAAAGGCAGTTCGACGCAGCGGAGAGTGAGGGTGAGTAAAAATCGATTTGTTGCACAAAACGCCACACACACAAACACACAACTGTGACAACCCTGTGCACGAGGGCGAGTGGTTGACATGGGCGGGGCGGGACCTGAACGTGGACGAGAAGCTGACGAACTATGTTGATGGGATGCACATTACAAATTGTTGTATACATTTCCAGGCAATGGAAAAAATCAAACTAAAGGTTATTGGCGTGCTGCGCGAGCGCGACGGTGGCACGAATGTTAATCGCAGCAGTGGCGTCTCTGCTGGCGTTGGCAGTCATCAGGTGGGCGTGGGCGTGGCCGTTGCAATTGGGGTCACGCAGGACAATGGCAATGGCAACGATAACGGCAACGCCCCTGGAGCAGAACGCAACGATGCACATGCACTAAATGCAGTCGGTGGCGGTGCAGTTACCGGAGCGGGGGGTGCGGCACGCACCTCGGTGCTCTCCCGGCCGCAGACATCCAAAATCAGCGCACTCGATCTGGCAGGTATATTAAACACGAAACGGCGACTCGAATGGACCAAGGAGTGGCTGCGAAAAAACCAATCCGAATTTCTCAGCAAGGAAAATCTGCTCAGCGAGCTGCAGTCACGCAAGGACGAGTGCTACCATTTGAATTACTTCCTAGCCATAACTGAGAGCCAGTTTCGATATCTGGTACAGAAACTGGAGCCCATCATTAGCCAGTATGCGCCTCAGCGCAAAAAGAAATCCTTCAGCGCCGAGGAGCGTCTGGCCATAACGCTCAAGTATTTGGCAACGGGTAAGCATTGCTCACAGATCGACTCTGAATCCATTTAACAATTTCTTGACTCATTTACTTATATATATATATGTACGTTGCGTATATGTAGATCGATGTGCATCCATTTGGTAATGTGTGTATGTATGTCTTTGTTGCAGGTGAAGTGCATTCTTGTCGAAACTACTGCTTCCGTGCCTCCAAATTTGTGATAAACGAAATGATTGCCAATATCTGTCTGGGCTTCTACGAGCACCTCAAGGACCAATACGTGACACTACCAAAGACTGATGAGCAGTGGCGCAACGCGGCCACGGACATGGAGCGCAAACACAACCTGCCCCAGTGCGTGGGTAATCTGTTTATGCGTAGCATTCAGCTGCAAAACAGCGTCAGCAACGACGATCGCAAGCGTGCGGCCGTCATCTTTACAGCCATTGTGGATGCGGACAACAATTTCCAGTATGCGAAGGTGGAGCGTGCGGCGAACAGTCGGCCAAATGATATATACAACCAGACCACTGCCGTTGAGCTAATCGAGCACAAGATGCAGGCGCTAGAGGCACAATCGGAGCCGCATCGCAAGGGCTACTATCTCGCCGGTGATGCAGTGCTGCCCAGCACATCCTATTTGATCAGTACACGCAATTTGGCCAAGGAGAGCCCCGCGTACGCTGCGCTTGAACAGATTAATGCTCATGCCGAGCAAACGATGCGCATATTGTGCAATATATTTCCCATACTAGCGCAACCACTGCGCGTCAGCGAGAAGCACATCGGGGAGGTGGTGCTAGGCTGTGTGGCATTATATAATTTCCTGCGGAAGACAGACGATTCGTTTCGGCGCAACAGCGACAGCATAGTGCAGCAGCGGGGCGGCATGGAGCAACAGCAGCCCGCCTATGTGGACAGCGAGGACATCGACGAGGACTGCATCATGCTGGCAACCGAGGAGGAGCTGCGCGAACGAGCCGAGTTTACGCCTAGCGTTGGACTGACCACCTGCTTTCAGACGTTGAGCGCACAGCGTGGTGATACGCCCGATGGTCAAGCCAAGCGAGACTGGCTACTCCAGCTGCCAATAGTTGGGGTACAACAGCAAAATGGCAACGCCACCGCGAGCGGGGGTTTATATTAGTGCAATTTTACCTAAGTACTTTACGAATTTTGTATAGTTCCTTGTTTTCTATTTCTATTTTCTAAATCATAATCTATATCTTATATATGAATTGGCATTGGCATTGGTTATGTTGCTAGCCATAGTTTTGCCTCCTTCTGCTGCATTAAGTGAGCTGTTCTTTTGCTTCTGTGCTTTAAGGTTCTGTAAAGTTAGTTTAGGTTTTTAATTTGGAAGTTCAGTGAATGCTATGTGATGTCTCAAATCTCTATTGTGGCCCAGTGCTCCCGGGGAGCTTTGCGAGTGCGACAACCAAACGTTTAGGCGCGCGAGGATCGAGATGAAAGAAAACAAAGAAAAACAAAACAAAAAACAACAAAAAAGAAATAAGAAAACAGATCAACAAAATTAAAAGTTTAGTATTCGTATTTAAGCAAACAACAAATTATACATAATTATATTTACAATAAATGTGTAAGGAATGGTCTTTACGTGTCGAAATCTAAGCACGCTCCCATTTGAACATCACTCAACATTAAATACTGCTCCAATGCGGCCAGCTCTGCACAACAATGTACAGCGCATCACCCGGACTTTTGGTGGCGCTCAACTGGCGATGGCCCAGCAGCTGATAATTCTGGGCAAGCTCACCCTGTCTGACAGCATGATCCAGTAATGACTGTGCAGCAGCCAGTGCTGCATCCGTTGGCGGCTGCTCCTCGAAGTTTCCAATGAAGGCAATGGCCAGGTTGCCGGCATTATTACCAGCCGCAATTGCGCCCTGTTGACTTGGACTGCGTCCCTCGTAGACA